TCATGTAGCAGCAGCAGACGTATACAAGCACCAGGAATAATCAAAGAAAGCTTAGAAATAACTCCTGTGTGCTGAGAGTATTGAAGACACATTAAAAATTAATTCAAAATTACTTGTACACGAGATATTGATGGAAAAGCTGAAAACTAATTATGTAAATCAGGTAACTAATATAAACAGAACAGAACAAAAAAATTATGAATTATTATGCTAATTAGAGAATTAATATGAACACATTTTAACCCAAAATTAATCTGGCCTGTCTATTGTCCTAGAGCATTTATGTACCAAATTTTATTTAAATGTGATGATCAGTAATTGAGATATCAGTGTTAATTAATTAAGTTAATTTGTTGATTAATAAGCATAAATATTTACCAAAAACTAATTGGGTCTCTGCATAGTTCTCTTTAAAAGCTTCATTAAAATCCAATTCGTGGTTCTGGAACATTATGCAAATTAGGTAATTAATATCCAATTAAAACTAATCAGGTCTCTGCATAGATCTATGTAGCAAGTCTCATTGAAATACGATGATTAGTACTTGAGATATCAGGAAAAAAGCTGAAAATTAACTAATTATGCTAATAGGGTAATTAATATGCACAAATATTTACCCAAAAACTAATCAGGGGTCTGCACAGTCCTTAAGTAACTATGTACCAAGTGTCATTGAAATGTGATGATTACAACTTGAAATATCAAAAGCTGAAAAATAATTAATTATGTAAATTATGTTATTAATATGCACAAATATTTACCCAAAAACTAATCAGGGGTCTGCACAGTCCTTAAGTAACTATGTACCAAGTGTCATTGAAATGTGATGATTACTACTTGAAATATCAAAAGCTGAAAATTAATTAATTATGCAAATTAGGTAATTAATATGTACTGATATTACCCTAAAAACTATCAGGTTTGTGCAGTGTCCTATGACATCTATGTACCTAACTGCAACAACTCCCTTTTTGTGCTTCGCACACGGGAGTCAACAAGAGGTACAAATCTTGGTAAATACAACACTACCTTGATGAGCTGCTTGAATCATTGTTGTCATTATCATTATCATCATCATCTCCAAACACAACAGCTTTCATGGCTGCAGATTCTTCAAATGCTACTGCTTTGGTGCCACTAGATGCCGACTGAACACGTATTTCAACTCCACTGGGTGAGGTTTGTCGATTAGAATCTAAAATGTATTGAAGGAATACAATTTCAAAACATTATAGATGGTATTTGCATAACATTACTTTGCTTAGGTTCTATTGTTGTTAGAAACCTCACAATATGATTTGTTGAAGGGTCATACATAATCTTTCAAAAGAGCAAATTAAGAATCGCCGCTGGATTGCAGTCTAACAGCCTGGCTTATCCTAATGGTTAGCTCAGTGTTTAGGATGGCTGGCACCTGATAACTGCTCAGTATTTTGGATGATTGGCACCTGATAACCGCTCAGTGTTTTGGATGATTGGCACCTGATAACTACTCAGTATTTTGGATGATTGGCACCTGATAACCGCTCAGTGTTTAGGATGGCTGGCACCTGATAACTGCTCAGTATTTTGGATGATTGGCACCTGATAACCGCTCAGTGTTTTGGATGATTGGCACCTGATAACTACTCAGTATTTTGGATGATTGGCACCTGATAACCGCTCAGTGTTTTGGATGATTGGCACCTGATAACTACTCAGTATTTTGAATGATTGGCACCTGATAACCGCTCAGTGTTTTGAATGGTTGGCACCTGATAACTGCTCAGTGTTTTGAATGGTTGGCACCTGATAACCGCTCAGTGTTTTGGATGATTGGCACCTGATAACTACTCAGTATTTTGGATGGCTGGCACCTGATAATTACTCAGTATTTAGGATGGCTGGCACCTGATAACTACTCAGTGTTTTGAATGGCTGGCACCTGATAACTGCTCAGTGTTTTGAATGGCTGGCACCTGATAACTGCTCAGTGTTTTGGATGATTGGCACCTGATAACCGCTCAGTATTTTGGATGATTGGCACCTGATAACTACTCAGTATTTTGGGTGGCTGGCACCTGATAATTACTCAGTATTTTGGATGGCTGGCACCTGATAACTACTCAGTGTTTTGAATGGTTGGCACCTGATAACCGCTCAGTATTTTGGATGATTGGCACCTGATAACTACTCAGTATTTTGGATGGCTGGCACCTAACTACTCAGTATTTTGGATGGCTGGCACCTGATAACTGCTCAGTATTTTGGATAGCTGGCACCTGATAACTACTCAGTATTTTGAATGGCTGGCACCTGATAACCGCTCAGTGTTTTGAATGGCTGGCACCTGATAACTGCTCAGTGTTTTGGATGATTGGCACCTGATAACTACTCAGTTTTTATGATGATTGACACCAGAGAACTGCTCAGTGTTTTGGATGGCTGGCACCTGATAACTGCTCAGTATTTTGGATAGCTGGCACCTGATAACTACTCAGTATTTTGAATGGCTGGCACCTGATAACCGCTCAGTGTTTTGAATGGCTGGCACCTGATAACTACTCAGTTTTTTGGATGATTGGCACCAGAGAACTGCTCAGTGTTTTGGATGATTGGCACCTGATAACACCTCAGTGTTTTGGATGACTGGCACCTGATAACCGCTTGGTGTTTTGGATGGCTGGTACCCGATAACCGCTCAGTATTTTGGATGGCTGGTACCCGATAACCGCTCAGTATTTTGGATGATTGGCACCTGATAACTACTCAGTATTTTGGATGGCTGGCACCTGATAACTACTCAGTATTTTGGATGATTGGCACCTGATAACTACTCAGTATTTTGGATGGCTGGCACCTGATAACTACTCAGTATTTTGAATGGCTGGCACCTGATAACCGCTCAGTGTTTTGAATGGCTGGCACCTGATAACTACTCAGTTTTTTGGATGATTGGCACCAGAGAACTGCTCAGTGTTTTGGATGATTGGCACCAGATAACTGCTCAGTGTTTTGGATGATTGGCACCAGATAACTGCTCAGTGTTTTGGATGATTGGCACCTGATAACTGCTCGGTGTTTTGGATGGTTGGCACCTGATAACTGCTCGGTGTTTTGGATGGTTGGCACCTGATAACTGCTCAGTGTTTTGAATGGTTGGCACCTGATAACCGCTCGATGTTTTGGATGCCTGGAACCTGATAACCCCTCATTGTTTTGGATGCCTGGAACCTGATAACCGCTCAGTGTTTTGGATGGTACCTAATAAGCGATCTTCTACTTCACTCCACGTAATCGATATATTCTTAACATGTGAGCTATTTAGAATCTTGTTTAAGAACAGATACCATTTTAGATTATCTTGAACTCATAGGTCAACTGACTGGTTCAAAGGTTAAACAAAGTGATTTCTTTGTTAACACAGCATCAATGTACAACTATTGACAACATCGAGGCTATGACATAAAATCAATATACTCTTTGGAATTGTTTTACTGACATGACATACATTTTTTTATTTAAAGAAAGCTTTACTCTCTTGTAGAAAGGGTTATAATTGAGAGTATATAATTAGAAT